AGCAGCAGCAGACCCAGGGCCCGGCCCAGCTTCATGCCCGGACCCCCGCCGCCCAGCGCCCTCGGGCCTGCCGACCCGCCTGCGCCGCGCTTCCGGTTCCTCCCCCTCGCCGCCGCCATCTTTGCCGGGGGCGGGCCTCCCCGCGACGCCGGCGGCGCCATCTTTGTGAGGGGCACCGCCCTTTCCTGCTTCCGGGAGGTGGGCGCCCACAGCTGATGGGGTCGCTTTTTATTTTTTTCAAGTTTTAAGAAAAGTTTTACAGAAAAATTGAGTAGACAGTACAGTACAGAGAGGGCACAGATGCCTCCCCCACCCGACACATAGTCCCCCTATTACTAACATCTTTGTTACATAGGAACCTGTACTGATACTAGTTGGTTCAGATACTTGCTTAGTTTTGACCTATCGTCCTATTTCTTTTTTTTTAACATTTTTTTTTTTTTATATTTTATTGATTTTTTTACAGAGAGGAAGGGAGTGGGATAGAGAACTAGAAACATCTGTGAGAAACATCGATCAGCTGCCTCCTGCACACTCCCCACTGGGGATGTGCCCACAACCGAGGTACATGCCCTTGACCGGAATCCAACCGGGGACCCTTGAGTCCACAGGCCGACTCTCTATCCACTGAGCCGTACCAGTCAGGGCAGCTATGGTCCTATTTCTGATCCAGGATCGCACCCAAGGCACCACATTATACTTCATCTCCTCTTGACTGTGGGTGTTTCCCACGTTTTCCTTGGTTTTGATGACCCTGACAGTTTGGGGGAGAACTGGTGAAATCTTTTGTAGGACACCCCACTATTGGAATTTGCCCTGTTGGTCTCACGGTTAGACTGGGGTTATGGGTTTGGGGGTGCATGTCCTTTACGGAGGAAAACTGCTATTTCTGTAACATTATATCAAGGGTGCAGACTACCAGCATGACTTGTCACTACTGATGACCTTTATCACCTGGCTGCGTTCTGGGCGTCAGGTTCCTCTACTGTAAAGTTGCTCACACTCACTCACTCACAGTCAGAGGATTACCTATGTCCCAGGTGAGACAGCGATGCCTGCATTCGCCTTCACCTTGCACAGTGCCCGCTCTAAATCAGCCCAGAAGTCACCCGGCCTGTTATTTCCTCATCCCAAGCTGTTCAAATGCTTCAGGAAAAACGACAGCACAAGTGGCACTGAACTCGACAGCTAACAGGTTGGCGCCTGTCTGTCTCTTGAACTAAATGAGCAGCTTTTGAGCTGCCCAACCCCCGACTCTGAACACATGGCCTAGTATCGGTGTGAGGAGACGCAAAATGAACAAGAAGGCTAGATTCATTTCATATTTAATACCGAAGTGCGGAAGTGATAGAGACAGGTAACTTTTCCTTCTTAATGCAAAGAAATAGGTAACTTTGTAAAAGTCAGAGAATACCAGTGTCCCTTTGATCCCATTCTAGAGTTTTCTACTGTCCACCGGATCCACTGGAAACGGGATGCATTTCTGAACCCCATTCCAGAGCATTGGAAGTAGAAGACATGATCACACATATAATAATAAAAGCACAATTTAAAGGGCATTATCTCACCCTGAACACACAGCTCTTTTCTCCTGAGCCAGGAAAAATATTAAGAAAAAGTCAACATATTTACAAACAAGATTTAATAACGCTCACAAGAATAGTTTGCCCCCAAATAAGAAAACCACATATTGTTTTGTTTCAAAAGGATACAAATTTAGAGCCTAAAAATTCAGCAGGTAAGCAGCCAGACCAGGAGAGTCTGTTTCTGGAACTGTCTGCTAGCCAGTGATCAGGGTTCTGTCCCGGAAGGCTTTTATCCTGGGGCGAGGGACAGTGCTATTTACATCCCATTCTGCAACTTCTCCCCTCTGGCCGCCCTCAATACCGTCTGTTCATCTTCTTGAACTTCTCATAATGATAGTCATCAGTGGCCTTCTCATTAGCAGGACGCTTGCGGTTTGGGGGGGACCCTGTGAAGGAGAAGAGGAAAAGCCGTTTGCCATCAGGAGGTCACCGACAGGCAAAGACGTCTCCACAGGAGCCCGTGCTACCCGGTGAGCAGAAACATAGTAGGGCCTCAGCAAACATTTATCGAGTGACTGAAAACAGACATACAGAGTTGGTGCAGCCAAACCACGCTGACCTCAGCACCCCACTAAGTGAACATAGCAGCCACACTTCATTGAGTCTGACTGGACCAGGCATGGCGCTAAGTCCTTTAGCCATGGCTTCCTTTTACCCTCACAGCAAGCCTCGCAGGGGCACTGTGCCGTCTCTGCTCAGAGAGGTTAGGTGACTTGCTCAGATAAGATAGGCTGAGCGTTGAATCCAAGTCTGGTGACTCCGAAGTCCTTGCTTACCATGTGTTTCACACAAAGCTCTTTGGGAATCCAAGACTACAAAACCAAGACGTTAGGAAAATAATTTCCCAAGGGAGAAAGAAGGAGAGGCTTTTCAGAAGCCTCAGCATTTCGCATTTCCTTAGCATCATCCCATTGTTCATGGAGAGGCAAGCGAGTGGGAAGGGCCACTGTCGGCTGCTGGGGGAGGACAATGAGCATCGCGCCCCTGGAGGATCCTTTGGTGACTTCTCTAAAGGTAACTAAGGGCATGACTAGCCAAGAATGAGCATCAAAGCAGCGTTTAAAGGGGAAATGGGAAATGGGGAGGCGACATCTGTCTTTCCAATGGAACATGACATGGCCTTTGAAAATGTTTACTGACATGGAGACATGCAGGGCGGACTACTGAGTGAAACGCTGAGATCCTTCTAGGTACATACAATGTTTCCTACATGGGAGTATTTTTACAAGTCTGAAAGGTTGTACATAAAAATGTTAACAGTGGTTGTCTCTGGTGCTGCAATAATGAATAACTTTTCATTTATTTTTGCTTATTGAAATTTTCTAATTTTTGAGTCTCTATTTGACAGCCCATGAATCCTCAGAGCAGCCCCAGGTGTAAGTTTTATTACAATTCCCATTTTGTAGATGAAGAAACAGGCTTGCAAAGGGAAAGGGACAAGGCCGGGTCCAGAACATGGACTAAAACTCAGATGCCCTGGCTCCGCACCCGAGCTCCCACCTGCCTCCATGGGCCCTGAGTGCTGTGATCACTCCAGGCCGCCCTGAGGCCACTGCTGTACTCACGGTCAGGCTCTGGCTTCTCGGTGTCGCCCACTCGCAAGGGACGGGCTTTGGGCTCTTCTTTGTTCCTCCGAATGGGGGCGTTGAGCTCCTCGTGATAAACTGGACCAAGGAGACCAGGGGACATGTCAGAAAAAATGCGGGAACCCAGGAACCTCAAACCAGAGGGGCAGGGGCGAGAGGGGCTGCCTCCCCCGAGGCTTACATCGGTTGTGCTGCACGTAATTCACCGCCATGTTGGTGGGCACAAAGGATGTCTCGCTGTCTTTCTTCTTGTTCTGCTGCTCTGCCAGCAGACGGGCCTTGGCATCCTCCGTGGAAATGATGTTTTTTATTTTAGCACTGAGGGGAGAAAGGAGCCATGTCACGCATTAGACCGCCGCCCCTCTGGTCCCAGGAGTGACTGGCGAGGCTGGAACCCTCCACTGCAGAAGGAAGCCCTCGTTCCTGGGGCCCAGCTCTGCAGTTTACAGGCTCCCCGGCAGCCACACCCCCATGGCACTCTCACAGCCTGGAGACTCAGGACTTATTCTCTTCTGATAAAGAGGAAACTGCATCTCCGAGAGGAGCAGAGAACTGCCTAAGGCTCAGAGCTGGAAAGCCAGGAAAGAGGTGAGAACCCGGAGGTCTCCCAACCACAGAGGATTCTGACCACTGCATTTCCTCCATGACAGTCCCCTTTTAGAGCAGATGTTCTGTAGTAAAAATGAGAGGAGGATCGTGGGGTGGCTAAGCCCTTAACAACGCTCCTACTCCAACAAAACAGAATAGCCCGGCAGTGTAGCTCAGTGGCTGAGCATGGACCTATGAACCAGGAAGTCACAGTTCAAGTCCCCGTCAGGGCACATGCCCGAGTTGTGGACTCGATCCCCACTATGGGGTGTGCAGGAGGAGCCGATCGATGATTGTCTCTCATCATTAATGTTTCTCTCTCTCTCCCTTCCTTTCTGAAATGAATAAAAACATATTAAGAACAACAACAGAAGAACGCAGGGCCTGACTAGAACAGTGAAGAGCTGTGAACAAAGGCTAAATCAAAACACACTTCGGCTTTCAGCAGTCAGGGTCCCTAAGTGTCTTTAACTGCTCTGCCCAACTCTTCAGAACTCCTGGAGACAACACCTCAGCCCACCAGAGAGAACACAGTTTTGTGGGTTTCCCAGGAGACAGGTGAGAAACAGTCCCCTTAACTTTTAACTGAAAAGCAGAGCGGTCCCCCCCAGCCTAGGGGCAGGGGAGAGGTGCGGCGAGGGTCTGGAACGTACTCGATGCCCAGGTCCACCTCGGGGATGCCGCTCAGCATCTGGTTGGAAAGCATCTCCTCCGTCTTCTTCGCCGAGGAGACGCGGATGTTCTCCGGAAGCTCGTAGAGACAGTCCTCGGCGTTCTTGGGCTTTACTTTCTGTTCTTCGTGCTCCACGATCCCTTTCCTCTTCTTCAGCTCCGTCTCAATGTACTTCATCCTGAAACCAGAAACAAGGTCTCAGGAAGCTCACAACAGGCACCTTTGAAATGAGTGGCCCCAACACGGCCCATAGAGCAGTGACGGTCTGTGAGCAAGTTTTCATCAGTCCATGGAGAGGTGAGAAAAATGAAAATAACTTGAAAATTTTTTCTCAAGTTAAAATTTACCACTTAAAGCACCAACCTATGTTATGAGATTACGTGCCGCCAATCTATTGGTGTTATTCTATATAAGGTTCTTTGAAGACGGAAGGATAATGGGAGATGGTAGTTGTTTGTTCAACAGTCTTATTGGCCAAAATAAGAAGTAGGCAGTCTAGTGTTTATCCCTGCAATGTTTTGGGGAAATATTATTAGTCAAGGAATCTAAAATCTCAAGAACCACTTTTAAAGAACTTTTCAGACTTTTTCAAAGTGCTTCAGCCTGGGAGGTGGGCCAAGAGGGACCAGCACTGACATCTTTGGTTGACTCTAGAAATGTCACCTGTGACTGACTAGCTCGGACTG